GATTATTATGCGAATTATTATGCGAATTTTGTTTTATTCACTTTGTCTACAATATAAAATAGCTTCAATAAAGTCTACACAATGATGCATCAATAAATTCATGTGCACCCACAAGCGGCTAAATGTTTTTATGCCAACAAACATCTTCATCAAACAGGTGATGTCCGCTGAATGTATTGTTGCGTATTGGGTTTCAACGTTGGACGGGGCAAACACACTGAGTGAAATTAGACTGGGAGTAAATGGATTTCTTTGTGCTGGATATCTAAAAGGAATTGTGCCAGTAACTACGGTTACTATTGATGTTAAAGGTGAGTACTTAACGTAATGTGGGGGATTAATTGAGAAAAGGGCACAGAGGATTATACTGCTAAGAAAGTGGATTTATTTTCAATATTAGATTAAGATTAGCGGTTAAGTTTCTTAGAATCATGAGTTACGACGTTGAAGAAATCTCTCCACGGCCAAGTTATCCCACAAGGTAATCAACGAAACAATTATCATTGAAACCACAGCTTTCTTCCGGTAAAAGCGACAAAACCCGAAGTAGACAAAAGCAAGAGGTAATTCTTTAATTACTTTGAACTTTATTTTATTTTCACTTGTTCTTGATTGAGGGTCAAGAACGGGCTTATTTTGTGTACATGGTGGATTATATGTTTTGAAGCAAATGGGCGGGAAACTACACTAAAAACTAGAATAGTGATCCCTCGATTTTAAAGGATAGGCGAAACACTGTGCTAAATGGATGGTCAAAACAAATATAGTGGATGGCCAAAATAATGTAATAATTGTAAAAAATAATAATCGAATGATCGACTTATTAGCTATCGCTGAAAGGGAAAAAGTCGAAATAAAACGATTGTTGCGTAATATTCTAAATGGGTGAAATGCTATACTAAATTAGACAAGGTTTGTTTTGTGTTCCATTTGCTATATGTTTTTATACATGTCGAAACATCCTGGAGGAAAGTCAAAATGATAAAACTATCCAGTCAAGCCATTTGGTAAATCTGATAGAAAACTTGAGAGTTCTGGCCGTGTATTACGTATTCGTAGCTCCGAGTAGGCTAGTTTAATGAAAAGCAAACATCTCTTAATTATATAATATTGTATGATTCTACGGATAGACAATATTGCATCGATCAAAGAACAACCCTCAAAGAAACGTTATAACTCTGCCAAAGTGTCTAGTAAGACAAAGACCAGTGGTATGATATCGTATTTTATTAATAATTTTGATGTTTTAATACTTTTTTAGGAAAAGGAAAAAATAGCTTTCACGATGCAATACTTCTGATTTTAAGGCAGTGAGATATTCGATATAAATCGATATGGTCTATATTATTAATGAATTCATACAAAACATAATAAAATTCACATATATATATATATATATAATTAATCCACACAAATATGCAATAAAACTCGTATACAATTGTGTAAACGCGTGTACGTAAATCATAACGATAATAAATCACTTTTCTTTACAAGTTCCATATTGACAAAATGTCTTTGTGTTTGCTATATAATTAGTTAGATCCATTGTAATTGATAAAAAGCGATTAATAAAATTAATTCTATAATTGGCCCATTTATATAAATAAATTTCTAAAGTAACTCCGCTTGAATCAAAAATAATTTGTAACTTTTCCTGTAAGTGGGTTCCTTCCGAATAGTAATCTTACAAAAGAATTATATTTCAGTGTCCTTTCTACAAAATTAGTGAAACACGATAAGTGCGCCTGTAGACAGATATAAAAAAGACGAATAGCTACTTTTAGCAAAAACTTTCTGAATCGAAAAA